TCCGCCCTTTTCCGTTGGCCATGTAGCATTTCTGTTCATTTGTCTCCAAGGTGTGTCACTGCTGGTGTCCGCCCTTTTCCGCTAGCGATGCAACATTTTTATTCATTCCCCAAATGATTTGCCGATACGTAGGGTTTTTCAATTCTTTCTTAAGATGTGTCCCTGCTGGTGTCCGCCCATTTCCGCTGGCCATGCAGCATTTCAATTCGTTTGTCTTTAAAGTGATTTCTTTACTTTTGTCTCCCAGGTTCAGTGCCTGCATTGCTGGTGTCCGCCCTTTTCCGCTGGCCATGCAGCATTTCTATTCATTTGTTTCCCATGTGGTTTGTTTACTTTTGTTTTCCAGGTTCGGTGCCTGCACTGCTGGCATCCGCCCTTTTTCCCTTTCCAGCATTGCTATTCACCTGTCTCCCAGGTGATTTGGTCCGTCTTGTCTCCCTTCTGTTTCCTTTTGTGTCCCTTCTTGTTGGTCATTGTGTCCGCCTTGTCTCCCTTTTTGTCTCCCTTGTTGTCCCCATTCTTGTTGGTCATTGTGTCCGCCTTGTCTTCCTTTTTTCGTTTACATGTGCCTCCTCTCTCCCCCTCTCGCTTGCAACCCTTCACATTGTCTCCCAGCTGCTCTGCCCTGCAATCCTTTACATTTGTCACCCAGCTCTGGGCTCTGGGCTGCATGTCACTTGCAATCCTTTACATGTGTCTCCCTGTGTCTACATTTGTCTCCCAGCTCTGGACTGCTGTGGCCGCCTCTGCCTTGCAATCCTTTGTCTCCCAGCTCTGGACGTCGCAAGCTCTAGTCGCAGAGTGTTCCGGTTTTGAAAAACAAAAAACTGTTTGGGGTCTACGGTGGTGTAATTTTTTTTTGGAGTTTTTTGGATTTGCTTTTTTGTGGTCGAACTCTTGTGACTCAAATTTCAGGACAAAGAGATCAAGTCTTGAACTGAGCATTTCCGAAAACATGGGCGACTGGTCTCACACGGGTGACAGAGTGTGCTTTTTTCTAGGATGTGGCCTTGCTGCTAGATGACGAGGTGAGGAGTAAGTGACTGAGGTGGATGACGGTGTGTTTTGATTTCAATCACTTCAACATCCTGAAGACTTTCAAGACTTGGCCAGTGTGCCTTCGACGATCGTTATGCGATGAGCAGCATTGCTGCTGCCCTGCGAGAGGACTCACCGCACCGCTGGAGTGTGAGCGGGTGTTGAGGGATTAGGTTCCTCAAAGCTTCAATTGCTGCTTTTTCTGTTCCCGTTTTTCTTGTTTTGCATCATGGGTTTGGGGCAACCTCGATTTCAACCCCTGCCAGAAGGGGTCAGGGGTGGCGACCTATCTCGGATTGGGCGACGGGGCCTCCCTCTTGCAGGATCGACCTGCCAAGAAGAGCCAAAGCAAGGATTGAGCGTCCAGAGCGGAAAGAAGCCTTTGGTCATCATGCGTCAGGAAAAAGGTTGCAAAAAGAACAGCTGCCGCCGCCACCGAGCGATTTGTGAGCATCTTTTCCTATGAAGTCCCGAGCGAGCGAGAGAGAGAGAGAGAGAGAGAGAGCGAGCTGAATCGTTTCTTCTCTCAACAACTTCGAGGCAGCCATTCATGCCAGCTTTTCAACTGGAACTAAAATGAAAGCTGTCTCTTGCTAGTTCAGGCTTTTGCTTTCCATCCATTAGGAGACTGTTGGCGAATTGTAGAGGTTTAATTTACGGAATCTCAACAGTGCGGAGTGTGCTGTTGAGCTTTGGTGATGCTGTTTTATTTCAAGTTCGACACGGAGTTGGAGCCGCCATGAAGGGCGACCTCTTGGAAAGTGAGGTTGACAGGTTCGGTTTGGTGACGTGTTGGCCTCCCGATGCTTCCTCGGCCCAAATCCATAGGACATCCTTTTGCCAGTGACTTGACCAATGGTCGACCTTCGTGCTACGTGGTGAAAACACTTTGGGCGTGTGGTTCGCCTTTGCTGGGGATAGAGGTTCCCTTGTTGAGTATTGATTGGATATCGTATCCATATAGGTACTACAGGTTGTACTTGACTGCCATCCATTGCATTGTTCACAGCTTCGCCTTTCGTACTTGCTTTGAGTTGGCTGCCCACTACCAATACTGGTAGCGGAGCCTCGTCCAGAGGCTCCCTACCGGGATTGGTGCTGGCTGATCTTGCACTGGTGTCGAACATCGACCTTGTTGGGTTCAGTTGGCTGTGCACGGTCCGGAGTTGGGACCAGATCCAATTTTGGACAACCGGAATTCGTTTGTTGGAATTTACGTTGTACATTGTGCATCGGTGGTTTGATTCCATGACAACAGTTGAACGCAAGGAGCACATAGCAACATGGGACGGTGACGCCTCTCGTTGGTTGGACTACGTCAAGCGTGTTCGACTGCAGTATGAGAGGACTGAACCTAAGAAGCGTTGTCTGCTTGGAGCTGAGTTGGCAAGTCGCCTCACCGGCAAGGCTTGGGATATCACCTCAGCCGAGGTGGACCACAGTCGATTGCAGCGAGCTGACGGAGCAGCATATTTGTTGAGCTTTTTGGAAGAGCGTTTGTGCAAGACCCCCATCCCTGATGTTGGACAAAGATTGGAAGAGTTTTTCATGAAGTTGAGAAGACAACCTGGAGCTTCCATGACAGAATGGGCCACATCACTGAGGGAGTCATACCGACGCTTGCAAAGAGCCATGGCCCGTCAGCGACAGCAGAACAACCCAGGTTCCGAAGTTGCAGTTGAGTTGAACAGCCGCCGACCGAGTGCCTCATCGCCGACTCCAGCACAAAGGTCTGACCGAACGACACCTCAGGCCAGACGAGATGCGCCAGTGACCTTCCCAGACATCCCTGAGGGAGGTTCCAATCCCGGCAGAACTGGACAAGTCCAGGAGACCAATGAGGAGCCCAATGACCATGAAGGTTATGAGGAGCTTCCGCAGTCAGAGCATGGTTGGTCCGAGCAGCGATGGACCGCTGACGAATGGCGCCAGTGGCAACGTGACCGCTGGCAGAGACAAGAAGACGATGACGCGTCTTCGAATTGGTGGGATCAAAAAGAAGAGACCATTCGTTGGGAACAGTTCGAATTTGGTGAAGTGCAGATCCTTCCCCAAGAGATTTTGGGATGGTTGTTACTCCGTAGGAGCGGACTTCCCGCATCTGCCCGCCTTTCAGTCTTGAGCGCCATCAACAATCGGCTTGACTTGGACACCATGGAACGTGCAATGCGTGACCAGGAGGAAGAGCTTCTCGTGGCAGAAGCCAACCGGAGTCGGGGCGACTTGCATCGCCCACGTCGATCGTTTTGGGTCGAGCAGGATTCACAGTGGGGTTTGTTGGGTGATTTGGAAACAGAAGAGGTTGATGATAGTGCAATTTATTGGGTTGGTGATCGTTTGCCACAAGATGTTTACCCTGTTTGGGATGACCCTTCTCCAACATCCACTGCATGGAGCACATGGGCCCCGGACGGACAGGAGTTGAGTTGGCAGTGGATGGACGATGATTTTTATGCTCAGGACGCTGAAGGCATTTTCTGGTCTTGGACCGAGACCAAGGAGTGGATGGATGCTGAAGAATGTGCACAAGCCACTCCGAATGATTCAGAGGCCATCTTTTCAGCTTTCGCCGCCTTTCAAGACAAGATGAGATCGTTTAGAGATAGCCGAAAGCTCAATTACGCTAAGCAGCACTCCAGAGGTTTTTACCCCTTTTCCATGTTCAAAGGAAAGTCCAAAGGAAAAGGTAAGAAGGGTAAACCAAAGGGGGTTCAAGCCTCGCCTTCAAGCACTTCGTCTGCCCTGGCGAACTTCCAGAAGGGCAAGGGATCTTCCGGCTCCACTCAACGACCGGGACACCCAGAATATCGAGGGTGCTTCATTTGTGGCAGCAAGGACCATGACTTTCGTGGTTGCCCAAAGAGAAGATCTGAGACTTCGACCTCGAACTCATCCTCTACCAGGCCAAACTACTTCTCAAACCAGATCTTCGTTGTCCTGCCTGTCGAGGAGAATGAGCAGCAGGCCATGACGGCCACGGAGGACACCACAGCCGCTCTCGCGGCGGTGGCAGTTGAGTTCCCTGGCCATGCAGTGATCGATCTCGGTGCAACCGAGTCATTAGCCTCCCTCGAGGCCTTGCAGGAGATCATGAACCTTCGTCTCCAGAACTTCGGCCATGAGGAGATCGTTGTTCATGAAGAGACCAAGCGCTTCAAGTTTGGAAATGGAGACACGCAAAAGGCCACCTCTTTCATTGAACTTCCACAGACCATCGATGGAACCACTCTGACCTTGGGAGTGCATGCCATAGATGCTCCTGGCGTGCCGCTGCTGCTGAGCGTCCGCACGCTGAGGAAGATGGGAGCCAGCATCGACACCGAACTGAACCGCATGCAGCTCCGTAGGTTTTCTGATGCTTGGATTCCTCTCAAGCAAAGTGCCAACGAGCACCTCCTTTTGGACATGACCCGAGACTGGTATCACCTTGATGAGCCCTCCGTGTCCGCCGGAGCGTATATGGAGCTGTTTGACGGACCTGAGTGGGACATGTGGCCGGACGAACGTGTTTGTGAAGAATCTTTTGAGTCTCAACTTCATGATGCAGTACCAGTTCATGACATGTCCATGCATGAGGAATTTGCAGCTTCATCACAACATGTTTTTTGTGAGAGTCTCGAAGAAGGTGATGTGGTTGACAAGTGCGTGACAGAGTTCGCCTCTCCGGATGACCCTTCCAGCTCAAGCATGCACTTTGGTGCAAGAGCCATTGTGACACTCGCCGCAGCCTCGACTGTCCTCCCATTGGTGCATCATGGCATCCTCTCCACCGACGCCGACCAAACCAAGAAGCCAGGATGCTTTGCTCAAGGAGGCTGCGGAGAACAAAGCTCGTGCCGAGAAGGCCAAATCATCTTCCCGGAAGTCCAAGAAGGATCGGACTCCAACGCCAGAGAAATACGATTTCTCGAGGGCGACAGGCCCGGTGTCAGACGACCCGCGAGCCCAAGGATTTCCCTGCTATGGCAACCACCAGCCAATGCCACCGGGAAGAGGATCTTTGAGCGGGAGGAACAAATTCGGAATGTGGACAGTGTGCGAACGCTGCCGCCTCAGGACAGAGTATGTTCCAGCCTATGGAGCGACTGGAGTATACAGACAAGCAGGTCCACTCCCTCCAGATGTGACCACCGTGACGGAGACCATCGATTCGAAAAGACTGGAGGAAGAGCCGCTATACCGGGAGAACCTGAACGTGAAGTCCATCGGCCAGACCGGAGCGGAGGAGTCCCTTCGCAAGAAGCTTCAAGAGTTGGAAGCCAAGAAGGCCAAGAATCCACCTCGACTTCGTCCCGGAGGCTACAAGCCAAACGATGCGGAGATGCCTGCAACACATGCCTCAGCGGCCAAGGGAACCCAGCGAGTGTCACCCGACCAGAAGAAGGCCATGAAGAGGGAGAACGACAAGGGACCCGAGGAGGTCGAATCTTGGTCGGTGGTCTCGATCGCAACACCACCGGAGAGCGGCGGGAGTGCCGCATCCCCGTGAACACCAACGACCTTGACCACTATAAGTCGACCCCGGACGGCGACGACCTCGATTACACGATCCCGGACAAGGCCTATGATGGTGAACGAATGGGCATTTTGAGTAAGCCCCAACAAGAGCTCCTACAGGGCGTGGTGGAGGAGTTCATGGAGGAGGCGCATGCTGCTTGGAGAGACCTTTTACCTCCCCAAGATGGAATTGATCTTTTGGAGACCTGCTGCCCTCCTGATTCCCGTCTGACTCAGGTGTTTTTGGATGCCGGTCGGACAGCTCTGCGAGTTGGACTACCGGCCCACGACCTGTCCAGCAAGAAAGGTGTTTTGGAGATCAAGGAGATGATCAGTCGCTGGAAGCCGAAAGTTGCTTGGTTCTCACTTCCATGTGGACCCTACTCGCCAATTCAGGAACTCTTCAACGAGAAGGACGAGAAGGCCATGCAACGGAGCTTGGAGAGGAAGAAGAAATCCAAGAAGCTGATTAAGAACGGGCTGGAGGTCGCGACTCATCAACTTGAATGTGGAGGTGAAGTCGCATGGGAATGGCCCACGAACAATCGTGGGTGGAATCTTCAACCAGTCCGAGCATTTTGGCAAAGGCTGGAATCCTCTGGTGACCTACATATCGCAAGAGCTGATGGGTGCGCTTTCGACGTGAAGGATGAGAAGACAGACCTTCCAATCAAGAAGCCATGGACCATCAAGACAACATCCAGGACTTTGACGCAGGCTGTTTCAAGAACTTGCCCAGGCCACCTCGTACATCCTGAACATCAAGAATGTCTTGGAGGAGGACTAGCAAGGAAGTCCGGCTTCTACCCAAAGAAGTTCTGTCAGGCAGTGCTTCGAGCCATTCGAGAAATGACCGACGTCGGAGCACAAGGTGTACTACCAGCCTATCCCGTCTTCGACACCCGTGACATGGACATCGAGGAGAAGGAGGTGAAGAAGAAAAGAGTGACACCACTCTCCGAAGTGGAGAGAAAAGGTGTCGAGAAGATGCTGGAGCGACTGCGCAAAAGAACAGGACATCCATCCAATGCAGCTTTGAGCGGATGCCTACGACATCGAGGTGCTCACCCAGAGGTGATTGATATGGCATCACGCCATCAATGTCCTGAATGTCAAGAATTGAGAGCAGCGCCTTTGAATCCCGCGCTGTCCATCGAGAAGTCAGAAATGCTTTGGGAAACTCTCGTGATCGACAACATGGGGTTCACTGTGGATGACACCACCTACCACTATATGGCCATGATTGATGAGGCATCACGCCTGTTGTGTGTGCATCCCTTGTTTGAACATCCTCGAGAAGCTTCCCGCAATGCCACCGCTGAGGAGGTGATCTATGGATTGGAGCATTCATGGGTGATGCGCTATGGTTTGCCTGGCAAATTGCGCATGGACCCGGAAGGGGCTTTCAGATCGACAGCTCTCTCCACATGGGCTGATGAAAGGGGAGTGGAGCTTCTACCATGTGCTGCAGAAGATCATGGTCAGATTGGAGTGATTGAAAGAGCAATTCGCACCTTGAAGAGCTCTACACGGCAAATCCTGCAGGGCGGTGACGTCCATCCCTGGCAAGCCATCGCACATGCTTGCCAAGCTCACAACCAATTTGAAAGAGTTGAGGGCTACAGTCCATATCAGTGGGCATTCGGCAGACAGCCGACCTTGACTGGCCGTATGCACGACTCCGACCTCGACATGCCCTATTGGACTTCGGTGCAGGTCCCAGGTTCGAGCATGATGAAGAACCTAAAAATCCGAGTTCAGGCACAACAAGCTTTCCTTCGACACCAATCTCAGGAGCTGATGAGCCGAGCGAAGAACGCCAAGACGAGGCGACAACAGGTCTTCTTGCCAGGAGATCTGGTCTGCTTCAAGCGAGTGAAGCCACCGGCTCAATCTCAAGCACATCTTCGCCTACCTCACAAACTTTGGAGGTGGTACGGTCCCGCTCGTGTCCTGGCCTCAGAAACCAGGACGGATGCAAAAGGCATGGAGCGAAAGCCTAGCAGCATCATTTGGTTGGTTTCGCAAGGGCGATTGAAAAGATGCTCCCCAGAGCAGCTGCGACATGCGTCGGCTCGAGAACAGGCCATTGCAGAAGGCATGAGCTCTCCCACTACAACCTGGACATTCCATAGCCTAGCTCAGAGTCTTTGGAAAGGAGAATATGAAATTCTGGATGACTATTTGTTGCCAGAAGACCTTGTTTCTCGTGGAGCGCCAAAGACGCCAAGGTCCCGTTCTGTTGGCCCAGAGGCTGCACCTTCTACACCCGCGACTATGAGACGGAGTTCTTCGGTTCCTAGGCTAGGAGTGGAAAGGGCCCGAGAAGATGCCCAAGAAAGGACCCGAGAAGATGTCCGCCAAGAAAGTGACAAGACCCCAAAAAGACTTGTGAAAGAGACATCTGGCGATGGAGGGGCACATCAAAAAGCCAAGATGTCAAGAACAATAGAAGAAATGGAACACATGACGCTCGAAGAAGCGTTCAATCCCCCACAGAATACGACCCCAAAACCGAGGAACCCGAGGGGATCATCTTCCAGCGGGATCCAAAGTGAACCTCGCTCAACGGGCGTAGATTTGGGACGCTTGATTAGCGACCCGTCGTATGAGCCGCAACCCATGGCGACCGGTGAAGGGCGCAAGCTGCCTGAGCTATTCGAGCAGCCCCTCTTCAAGAAACAAAGACGCCAACATGGCGCTTCGGACGATGAGCTGCTGGCGACTTCATTCCTTGCAGATGATGGCTCATTCTGCAACCCGAATCTAGCCTGCGCCATCGAGCTGCCCTTGCCTTCGAAATCTTCGGAGTGGCGATCTTTGAAGAGGAATGCTGAGGCCTATTTCGTGAAGAAGCTCAAAGGTGCCGAAGTCAAACGGCACGAATTGAGTGAGGCCAAGAAGAAAGAATTTGATGCCGCAAAGCAAGCTGAGGTCTCACAGTGGCTCGCCGCCTCCGCGGTGAAGAAGGCCATCGGTCCTATCCCTCGGGATCGACTGGTCCGTATGAGATGGGTGTTAACCCACAAAGAAAGCGGTGCAGCGAAGGGACGCATCGTCCTCATTGGCTACGAAGACCCAGACCTCGCTAGCATCCAGAGCGCCGCACCTACAATGACCAGAAGAACAAGACAACTCGCGCTACAGTACTCCAGTGTGCAATGCTGGAGGGTGCTCAAGGGTGATGTCAAGAGCGCTTTCCTCCAAGGAGAACGCACGGAGGAGAACCGCAACCTGTTTGCTTTACCGGTGCCGGAACTTGCAAGAGCTTTGGGCATTCCTGATGGCCAAGCAGTACAGGTGGTGAAATCATGCTACGGCTTGGTCAACGCCCCAGCTTCCTGGTTCCAGTGCATCCGGGACACCTTGAAGGATCTCGACTTTGTGCAGAGCAAGACCGACCCGTGCCTTTGGTCTGCTATATGCATCTAAGGATTTAGACTCAGGTCCCAAGCAGCAGAGAAGCACGACCCTTGGATATGTATGTGCACACGTCGATGATTTCCTCGTGTCCGGAAATGAGCAGAATGATGAATGGGTATCCAAACTGACCCGGTTTTACAGCAGATTCCAGTGGTCCCCGTGGGAGCATAGCAATTTTTCACATTGTGGACTGCAGATCATGGAGCAACCGGATTATAGTTTTGTGCTGGATCATTCAAAGTTCATTGAAGGGGTTGAGCAGATAGAGTTTCGGAGCAGAGCAGACCATGAGTTGGCAACCTCCGAAGAGCTCACACAGCTTCGTGGCGTGTTGGGTGCCTTGCAGTGGCGTGTCAACCAGTCCTCGCCAATGCTTTCAGCCAGGCTTGGACAACTTCAGAGTGAGATCAACACTGCAACTGTGGCGACCCTGAGGGCCGCAAACAAGCTGGTTCGTGAGGCCTTTCAGGCCAGGCATGTTTCAGTGAAGGTGAATCAGCTGCACCTTTCGGACCCCCTTGATGTTTGCTTTGTAGGTTGGTCGGATGCCGCCTTGGCAAATCGCAAGGACCTAGGATCGACAGGGGGATACCTGATTGCAGCAACCACCCCTGAAATGTTTGAAAGCAAGAGAAGTCCACTTTCTTTTGTTTCCTGGCGATCGGCCCGCCTCCAGAGGAAGGCACGGTCATCGCTGAGTGCCGAAACCCAGGCACTCGCAGAGTGCGACCAGGAGCTGATGTTCACCCGGCTCGCGTGGGCCGAATTTTGTGGAGTGCCTGGGAATTTGAAGAAGCCATCCGACGCGGTGAAACAAGTCGTCGGTGGCGTTGTTGTTGACGCTAAGGCACTTTACGATGTGCTCCTCAAGAGGGATCTGAATTCCTCAGGTGCCGGTTTGAAGGACAAATTCACGGCGCTGGAGGTGCTGTGTTTGCTGGAATCTTTGGAATCCAATTCCACCGTGGTCAGATGGGTGCATTCAAATGCTCAGCTGGCCGACGCCTTGACGAAGCCACTACCACTAGGTGTGCTTCAGAAGTCCCTGATCGAAGGATCATGGACGCTTGGCTACGACCCTGACTTCACAAGCGCGAAGAAACTGCGCAAGAAGCAGGGCACGTCCTGTGGTTCGACCTTGGAAGCATCTCATGGCCAAGGTTTTTGGGGCATCTTGGAAAGTGAGGTTGACAGGTTCGGTTTGGTGACGTGTTGGCCTCCCGATGCTTCCTCGGCCCAAATCCATAGGACATCCTTTTGCCAGTGACTTGACCAATGGTCGACCTTCGTGCTACGTGGTGAAAACACTTTGGGCGTGTGGTTCGCCTTTGCTGGGGATAGAGGTTCCCTTGTTGAGTATTGATTGGATATCGTATCCATATAGGTACTACAGGTTGTACTTGACTGCCATCCATTGCATTGTTCACAGCTTCGCCTTTCGTACTTGCTTTGAGTTGGCTGCCCACTACCAATACGACCCGCATGTGCCTCAGGGCGACCCGATTTGTGTGTGAATGGCAAGATGCTGAATGCCACGGGCCACTCTCTTTGCTGCTCTGAGGTCTGCTGAGTCTGCTGTCCTGCCTGAGGATTGGGAGAAACGGCTTCAATACCTCTTGAAAGCAAACAACGAGCTGTTCCTTGGTTCGCAGCGAGTGCTGTTCCTTCCAAGAAGCCCGGCATCGGTCGAAGTGGGTCGAGCCCCAGCATCGGTTCACGTCCAGCTTGTCGTAAACGAGGCTCATCGAAAAGCTGCAGAATCTGACTCGGGTGAGTGGCCAGCTCAGAGATGCCCGACCCGATTGGGACATTCGGAAGGACCAAGAAGCTGGTGATGTTTGGGATGTTCATCTTGGAGATATTCACGCTCAGCGATATTGCTTCTGGAGTCCACTTGAGCTATTTTGTGTTCTCTCCTTTGTCGCCAAGGTGTGGTGGATCGTCTGAGCAAAGTTACCACAGAGAGTGAGACTTCAGCCTACGTGCACCTCAGAACAACAACAGGCACACGCCCGAGCAGCTTGTCTGAACTGCTAGTGCGACGGTAGTGCTTGGTTCTCATGCTTTAGAACCACACACCCCTGGGAGGCTTGTTTCTGCGACCAACGCACTGGGAGGCTCCAAGGTCTGGTTTTTTCTTTTCTCCAACCCTCAACCCACCGGATATGGACACATTGAGCTCAAGTGCTTGAAAGAAGCCAATAGACTCAACAGACCCATTCATTTGCGTTTCATATCTCCCAAAAATCAGAAATTCCTGGTTCAGGGTGATGGTTTGTGTGATTCAGTTGGCTGCTTCGAAAAGAGTCCACCAAGAGGTTTGGCAAACGCATCTTTTCAAACGGCTCAACAAACTCTGCATGTAAATGATGCGTTGCCTACCAGCGTTGCTACCATCAAGATTTGCAGCTCCAGAAGCGGACCGAATTAAGACTGTCCCGCTCCGGAAACGGTGTCGCCGATGTCCGTTGCGTCCATTCTTCGCTCGAAAAGGCTTTTCTCCAAATCTGCCAGAAGAGCTGCTTGAAGAGGCGGAAGATGGTCGCTCGGCCTGAAGTTGTAGTAACAAGGACGCTACTAGCAACAAACGGCATCGCTACTACTAGGAGTTTAGGGGCTCCTGGCCTTACTACTAGGAGCAAGAAGCTACTAAGGGCTCGGCTGTAGGTCTGTAGCTGATTCATTTCATTTCATTTCCCTCGTGCTTCAGGTGAAGAGGAGGAGCCAGAGGTCAACCTCTCACGACGTGCGAGCGACAAGAAACGCGTTTCAATGACTTCCTTGGGCTCCGAGGAGGAACGAGCTCACATGGAAAAGCTCAAGAAATCCCAGAAGCAAAGGCAAAGCCGGGAGTTGAGGTACAATCGTTCCAGCAGCACTTTAGCAAGTGCTCAGATTACTGTGGCCATCAAAAGCATCGTGTCTTCATGGACCTTTGAAGCTCTCTTTGCTTTTGCCATCTTGTCGAACAGCATTTTCATCGGAGTGGAAGTGCACTTTGCAGCCCACAATAGGGAAGGCTTGCCACCTGCCTTCTTCTACATCGACCAGACCTACGCCGCACTCTTCTTGATCGAACTGGTGCTGCGAATTCTCGCTGAGCGGCTTCCGTTCTTTTGGTCCTCTCCAAATGTGATGTGGAACTACCTGGATATTCTCATCAACATCACCTCGGTGTTGAACCTGGTGTCTTTTATTGCCAGCACCGGACAAGATGCTGACTCATTCAAAGCATCTGGGAACGTCCGAATCATCCGGATTCTACGACTGACCAGGGTCATCCGGGTGGTGCGCATCGTGAAAATTGTACGCTTCATCCGGGCGCTGAGATCACTAGTGCACTCCATTTTTGGAACTTTGAAGGTACTGCTATGGTCTGTTCTGCTTCTTGTGATGATCATGTACGTCTTTGCAATCGTCTTTTGTGATGTGTCAAATGAGTATCTGGGTGGTTTCGAGGACGTGTCCGATACAGGCAAAACGTTCTTGGAGCGGTACTTCGTTGACCTGGAACGCTCCATCATGACGCTGTTTCAGAGCATTGTGAATGGATTAAATTGGGGGGATGTGGCTGATGAGCTCAACAAGCTCAGTCGAATCTGGGGCTATTTGTATGTTGTCTATATTGCATTTTGTACCAGCCTCAATGCTCTGCTGAAGATTCTTTTCACAACTCTTATGGACTTGTGACATGAGTTTGTGAAGCAATTCTTGCCATGTCAGTTTTTGGCTGGTTGCTGAGGCATGTTTGCCGTGTTAAACGTGATGACCGGGATGTGTTTTGGCTCATCAAGGGGTTGGGAAGGAATTTGTGAATATGTAACTCTCATGAGTGCAACGAACTAATTGTATGAGTTCCTGCAAGATCATGGTAGATGAAAACTCCCAGGTCGAGGTGTTGACTGTTCTATGCAGCTTGCGCAATGTTGACGGGTTGTCGGGCCTTTGACCGACAGCCAGATGCTACCTTTCAGAGATGTAACCTTCTTGTAAGGGTTGTACACGTTTTGACGTTCCATGCATGCATTTTCTGCATCCACAAATGATAGGAGGGGGAGAAAGACGGATATAGAGAGAGCGAGAGCGAGAGGGAGAGCGAGAGCGAGAGCGAGAGGGAGAGGGAGCGAGAGGGATAGAGGGAGAGGGAGAGCGATATAGGGAGAGATGGATAGAGGGATAGAGAGAGACAGAGAAGTCGATGTGTAGTCCAGGCGTCTGCATCTGCCGGCGTGAGAAGTTTTTGTGCCGTCACGAGGTTCTGCCAATCGGCGATTGAGAGTGCAGAACGTGACCAAGAGCTGCACGTCCAAGCGGTCTTGAATACCAAGCAGCAGCAGGTGTGTGTGCGTTTCTTCGCCAAGACCTGGGTGGTCAATCCCCACAAAGTGAGAGCTCTTGGGTGGTCAATCACTTCAAGCATAGGAAGAGCTGCCCTTTCTGCCTTTGGGGTTAGTTGCTATCTGGGGCCTATGCCGGTGTAATTTTTCATAAAGACTCATTGGTGCCTGGTGCCCCTTGTTATTCCAAACCAAAGTGCTGTCCGCCGTGTCTGTTTCTGCTTCCAGGTGGAGATGTTCATGTCTATTTTCCACATGCTGCAGAAGGACCGTGGGCGACGTGCATCGCACAACCAGAACTTGACCTTCACGGAGTTTGAGCATTTGTTTGACCAGCCACACATCCGCTCGTTCTTCCAGGTGCGCACCTGGCGAACCGCACTGCGAACCGACTCATCATGAGACGATTCACCGTCGGTCGACTCGACTCGATTCGTTTGAGCTGCAAAGAACACCCCTGAGGCATTAGATGTTGAGACCAAAGATGCTTGGACACTCTTCAAGCTCATGGACGTCTCAGGTACGGAGTCTGTAAAAACCAGAGATCGGATCTGAAACGGGTCTGCTGAGGAGGGTCTGCTGAGCGATTCCCTTCTTTCGTTTTCTACGAATCCCTGCCCAGGCCACGGTGATATTGATGCTTCGGAGTTTGTGGAAGGTTGCATGCGTTTGAAGGGTCCTGCTCGAGCCATCGACATGTCCATCCTCATGCAGGAACAGCGGCGGATGCGAAAGAAGTTGGTGAGTATCTAAACTGAATGTTTCAAACATTTTCTGGTAGATCATGGTGCTATTAATTAGGTTGGAGGCCATCGCTATTAGGATCATCCTTGTGCTCTTTTTTCTTCTCCGAAAGAGCCTCGATTGCGGGTTTTGAGTTGATGGTCTCAATTCACCACGTGAGGTATGGAGCAGGTTCTTTTGGACTCGTTAGGGCGACCTCGAACCCGAACGCACTCCTCAGCCACCATGACTGCTGCTTCACTACCTTCTCAAGTGATTCCCTTTGAAGAGGTTGTGTCGATGTAGAAAAGCTGTGAAGGAATGCATTTGTTTTCAACTTGTGAAGAACCGTTTTTGTTCCCTATTCGATTCGCAGCTGAATGATTTGCTTTCATGCAGCAAGCATGATTGCTGCTCTCCGTGTGAAGGGCGAATGTGCTTTCCAAATGGAAGCCAGCCAAATACCAGAAGGATTCACGGCCAAGCCGTGCAATCCTAACAAACTTGCGCGTCCGTTCCAGAAAGCCTAGAGTGATTTTGACAAGATCCGGTTGCTCTTAGTCTATTGGAAAAGAACCGTGGGAGTTTTGCTGGTCTTTCTAAGTCTTTCTTTGTTCTTTTTAGGGAAAATGTCGCCTTTGCATTGTTCTCCTTCCAGCATTCATGAGTGTTGACTTTGGATGCTCCTTTTTGTAACTCATCGTGACTCCATCTCCTGCTCGCCCCGTCCTGCACACAGTTCTAGGCGTTTCAATGTCCGCCCGCCCCGGTCGTGGGGGTTGGTGACGGATCTCAGATCGAGTCCGGTGAAGAAGCCTCCTCCAACGGCGCACACCGCCGAGGCCTGGGCGTTGCCGTTGTGTTTCCGCCACGAAAGAGATCGATCGACCGCGGCCGCGGCCATGTCGAGCGATGCGATGTCGAGCGAAAGAGATCGAGCACGTCTAGTGGTTGAGAAATGAGCTCTAGGTGATGAGGTGTGTCCACCAGGCACGTTCGTTGGATTCTTTGTCGCTTAGTTCTACCTCACGCAAGATGGTGTTTTCCTGGCTCCAGGTCATGGCGGAGGGCGAGAGCCCCAAAGAGGAGACAGGGATTTGAAAGACCTTTTTGGCCAGGTCAGCGACTGTTTTTTCACATCTGAAATCAAACGTGATTCTGATGCCAGGAGCCTGAAGATGAGTTGTCTGCAGCCAAACATGAGCTGCAGCACAGATGGTGCACATTGGCCTGTTTTGGAGTTGGAGTCGGTGTGAGTAAGATCGAACATGTTTTGTGCACAATTCCCTCGAGCAAGAAAAAAGGTACCACTTGAGAGTACAGATCTATATTTATATCAGAATCATCATCCAGCTATGACCAAACAATTTTGTTGACGCATGCACATACACTTCTTGGTCTTCGCTAACTTTTTCATCCAGTGAGTCAGGCCCTTAGACAGGCCTTAGACAGGGACTGTCACATGTTCTGTTTCCAGTGCCTCTTGCACTGCATCATTGTCACCTGTTGTAGCACTCACAAAGCTGTATTGAAAGAGTGTCTTCGGCGCCCTATTCTGCAACAGCGGCCTACCAAATCTTCATCGGCCCAGCAAGACCATGCCAAGACATGGGCACAGGTGTTCGCACCATTGAACTTGATCTCGCCTTGGACAGGGATACGCCCACCAACTGAAGAAGAGGGGTCAATGAAAACACTTATTGCAACTAGGGTACGTGAGGTGTGAAGGGGAAGTGTCGGGCGCATTTGGTATGGGCCCCGATGGTTGCACAGAGAGGCGAGCGCCCGATGCTCCCTTCCTTGTTGCTTTGGTCCGGAAGCTCAACCCATAAGAAAAACATTATAACAACCCTTTTTGTTCAAGAGCTCACCCCCAAAAACCAAACAGGTACAACAGCAGTTTGAGTGTCTCCCATATCCCGCATCGGCATCGGCATGGGGTATGCCATAGACCACAGCCATGCAAAACCCTGAAGTAGATGTTGGTGTGCTTGAGGGTCCACTTCAAGACCTCCAAGATCTCAGTCAAGTCCGGCACCTTATAAGATTTGTGCACTCCAAGAACCCCATAATAAACAACTTAGGGTTTGAAGGTTCCTCCTGGATATTCTTCTCGTTTAGAGTGGTTGGCGCTGCATCTTGCCAACCGGACCATTCTGTCAGAAAACCCTTAGTAGCAATCACTAGTCAGTGAAGAAGTTGAAACAACTTGTCCACATTTTGCGCGCGCTTTCTGTTTTTGTTCAATCTGAGTGCAGCTTTGGCACCACATTTTTCGATTCTTCGAGCTGCAACAGCAGCGACTCTAACCATCCGCCTTGCAGAGTCCACCTGGGCATCATGAGGCACAAAGGGGCTGTCATTCAAGTCGGGCGCAGAGGCTTCAAACTAGCGAATTTGCCTCCAAAACACCCCATCCTCAATCCCAGTCATGAGCTCATCCTTAAAGGGGTCCGATGAATCACTGCCTGGGCATAAAGACACTACCCAAATTCTTGATGCTCACTGATTTTCACTTGGACTTGGGGTTCCAGGCCATCAGCGTTTTCGTTGGACACTTCGCAACTGTCAGATTCAACGCCTGCGATGGAGAAAACGGCCGGGCTTTAAAAAGGGCCCAGCTGATGCACAAGCAAACTTTAAGGGAGAACGTTCGGAACAGTTTCTTTTCTCATCATCCATCGAACCACGGATCGAAATCCTATCCTGTGGTCACAGCAATCATCCATATACCACAGGCCTTGAATTGCAGTCCAAAAGTCAAAGGGCACCACGCCTGGCCCAATGATCAAAAGTACCCTTAATCCTTGGCGCGACTTAGTCGCTTGCGCTTGGAATCGCCCTCCTCCTCCTGCTTGGGAGCTGGAGCAGCCTTGGCTTTGCTAGCGGCTGTGGCTGAAGTCGGATTTTTCAGGTTCAGGGTGGCACCTCTATCCATGCATGTACTTGGATTGCCCAGCCGATCCAAGGTCGAGATTGAGATTGTGAATGCGCGTACAAATTGACATACATCACACATCACAAGGGGCACCTGGTCAAGAAGGCTTTTTGTTGACACCTGGAGCCAAAAGCTCTCGAAGTTTCAAAAAATGCTCGAAACTGTGGTTCACTGATTTGGTTCCATCTTGCTCGAACTCTGGATTTGTGATCGAATAGGGTTGAGCAAAAAAAATGTGTATCAATGGAAGGTCGAGGGTAATATGTATATATATATAGATATGTGCTGATTTGTTGATAGACAACAGCCAGGTGTCTTTGGGTACACCAACGACCAGGCTCCCAGAAGGCAAGGGCGCGGCGAGAACTGGCGTGGGAGGCTCACGTCACGCTGTGATTGAAAGATGCTGTCCGTCTGAGCCAGGATAAAGCGTGGAATGAGAGTCAGCGAGAAGCGCACTCATTCGACACGGTTGAGGAGCACGGTTTTCGTTCATGTTGGTTTTTGTGCACGCGATATTGCCTTCGTTGGTGCGCAAGAAAGTTCAACACACACTTAGCACGTGCGTGCAGGGCTGAATGCCACTCGCCACACGGCAACCTAGGTAACCGTATTCCTGACAAAGTCATGTAAGGGGGGTCTGAGTATCCTCGAGGTCGAACCAAAGAAGGAAAGAGGCCCAAATCTCAAAGTCACAAAGTCGAGGATCGCGATGTGACAGGATGACGGGAGCTCTCAAAACACCAATGCGTGACTGCAGATGCAAACCGGTGCAATGGCCGAAATTCTTGTTCTAGCTAAAGCAGGGACCAACAGGAAGATTGTCAGGTAAACACTGCAGGTACGCCGAGTTGATCAGACCCGGTATCCCATGATTGTGGTAGCTGTGTTGAGTGCGGTCCCACAATCATGCCGCACTCCCCTGCCAAGCTAACAGTGAAAAGAAGACAATACACAATCGAAGGATTCCCTGTGGCCCCAAGGGCTTCACATACACGCAGACAAGACAGACAAGATGTATGTGGTTGCGATGAAAAGGAACCAAGTGTCCAGGAACAACCAGATGAGCCAAACCTCCTTATAACAACCTGGGTGACCTAAGACCTGGGTTTCGTGTACCGGCGCACGTGCGCATTAAGGATCAGACCAGTGTGTGCGCACAAGAGAAAAAGGACAAGATGACGAAACATAAAGTCGAAAAACGTGAACAGAAAGAGGCAAAAGAAAGTGTGTGAGGGGCAAAAAAGGATGAAAGGGGGAACCAAATGAAGGGGCCGGAAAACGAAGCCGCGCCTCATTAGAACGAGCCAGGTGGAGATGTGCATACTGTATGTGCGCCAAAGGCCGCAGCAGACCCCACTTTGGTCGCTGCGACCACCTCGTGGCATAAAGCCTCCTTGAGTCCGCTGCGGACACGTTCTGGCGCGCCCGAAGGCTGCCTACTCACATTCAATAATTCATCAGATCTTGGCAAGTATCTTTGGCATAAGCCTCCTACTGTCTGCTCCAGACACCTACGTTCCCAAGCCGGGGAACATGGACAAACCCCCGTTCAACGGGGCCACAGGGGACACTCCTCGGGTACACCCTGGGCTCTCACTGAGGAGAGACAAGTTTAGGAAATGCGTAATTACTGAATTGAATGCCACTCGCCACACGGCAACCTAGGTAACCGTATTCCTGACAAAGTCATGTAAGGGGGGTCTGAGTATCCTCGAGGTCGAACCAAAGAAGGAAAGAGGCCCAAATCTCAAAGTCACAAAGTCGAGGATCGCGATGTGACAGGATGACGGGAGCTCTCAAAACACCAATGCGTGACTGCAGATGCAAACCGGTGCAATGGCCGAAATTCTTGTTCTAGCTAAAGCAGGGACCAACACGAAGATTGTCAGGTAAACACTGCAGGTACGCCGAGTTGATCAGACCCGGTATCCCATGATTGTGGTAGCTGTGTTGAGTGCGGTCCACAATCATGCCGCACTCCCCTGCTAAGTTGACAGCCAAAAGAAGACAATACGCAATCCACTGATTCCCTGTGACTCCAAGGGTTTCACAGACACACACACACATGCACACACACACACACACGCGCGCCCAGTGCTTCTAGGTACTCAAGATAAGACAAACGCACACACTTTTATGAAGTCACCGCCACCGCCGTTATCGGACTCACATCGGTTGCGCTCCCTTCCAGGACTTTTGGTGCATGTTTCACTTTTCTTATCCACCTTCCAAGCTTGAAAATGTGGACTATTCCCTCTTCAAGCAGGGCCGCACGCTCAGACATCGAACCGAAGCAGTGGAGTTTCTTATTTGACAAAGGCCGAAACAGCACGCACTTACTTGCTGCGAAACCAGTTTAATAACTAGATTCAAGTTCAGCGGGGTTTTGAAATTTGGTGTTCCATCGCAAGTATTCAATCACACGGTCCTTGAAACCAGCAACTTCGTGTGGGATTTGGTGAGCAGATTGGGATGTTGACGATTCAACGACTCTCAGACATTGGTCGCTTCGTTTGAGGTATTGCACCTGCGTGGGAGGAGTCACACCAAACTGACAGAAAAACGAACTGGGTCAATTTGATAAGAAGGCTGTTGCCAAACGGTGGTAAACTGTAAGTGGTATGACATAGCGCAATGGATTTTGCCAGGATGCTGCCTTGAAGAATGGAGGCAGATGGGTCATCAAGCTTGAGAAGGTCAAGGCCAGACTGCCGGATTTTGGCAGGAATGGAATCCGCGGCCAAATCAGTAGGAATGCAAGGCTGCCTGAATGGTCTGATGTCCAAGCTGGACAAGAACCTGGTCTTCACATTGTCAAGACCTCTCAAACACAGAAATATGCAGTTCTGGCTGAGTTCCTCCCGACTGGACAAGGAAGCACTCACGTACCTCTGGGGTGTACCTCTCCCAAAACCCGACTCAATTCCCATCTTGGAGAGCCTGAAGACGGCTCAGGCGCAGAGCCTAGACGATTTGTGGCTGTCTCTCAGCCTAGCCCTCATTGGTGAGGCCTGCGAGCAGAACTCTGTGATCATGCCTTCCACCTAATAACGATGGCCTCCACCTGGTAGCGATGGCTCCACGTAGCAGCGATGGCTTCTACCTAACAGCGATGTTGTAGATAAAACCAATGATTGCCTTTCAGATTGGCATTTGAAGGGGACACATGTGCTGGTTCTCAAAACTTCAAGTCTTTTGAGATCGGCAACATTTGTTGGACAGACTTGACCGACATGTGTAGGAAGAGGACAGGTTGGAAAGGTTGGAATGGTGGTGGTGCTTGCAGGAGTGTCTTTTTCTGCTCCTAAATCCTGACTTGGAAGCATGATGAAGCATGCATTTCAGCCATTTGCCAGCTATTCTTCCCCATCTTCAGTCGGGCCGTTTTCCAGGCCTTCTACGACGTCGGCGGCGCCGAGCTGGTGTGCGGAGCGATCGTCTCGGTGAGGCCGGTCGTGAAACGCCGCCGGACCCGGAGCCGGTCGGCACGGGACCGATCCGGACGCATCCAGGAGCCGGGCCAGCAAGATTGCCCTGTGGCTGACCACCGCCAAGGCGAATTCGAAGTCCAAAAAGCAATCCGTTTTGCAGCACGGTGGAAGGCAATGTATTTTTGTGGACAGCTCAAAGAAGAACTTGTATCACCCTGAGAGGATGAGAAAAGAGTTATGGCCATTGGCCGAGAATATCGGAACGTCGGGACGCCAGCCCTTTACAGCTGATCAGTCGAGAAAAATTACAGAGACTTGACTGGTCAAACTGATTCCCCAGACTTGTTCTCAGAGCTTCCAGCCTTGCTGTTTTGAAGATCTCTCACCCGCGCCACTATTTTGGCTCTACTCAATGGTTTTTCGCGACAATGGATCTTTGATTTGTCCGCGCCAAGGTCCTCGCCAGCACTCCTGGGCTTCAGGAGCTAGCTACGAAGGTAGGGATTGCAGTTGGTGAGCTGGCAGTGTTTTGCGGGGGATATTTTTTGAGTCACCCAACGAGCGAAAGTCATGTGGTTCATCCCTTTTTGGTTCACATCAACAGCGATGCAAGGATCAACATCCGACAGGCCCCAGGTTCTTGACCTCGTTCCACGATGTTCCACGTGTTTTGCTCTGAGGAATTCACCTTCGAGGATTTCCGAAAGCAGTCCGTCACCTATGTCCTCTCGAAAGTGAGCGGAGAAGAGCCCCCTGCACCCAGCTCGGTGCGCCAGCCGTGCCCGGCACGCGAGACTGTCGCACTGGGAGCTACGAGTGGGTCAAGATATCGATGTATATTGGTAATGGGTAATGATGGATTTTGTCCAATTAACTGCTTTGAGTTTGAAAGGGCTTGAGGGCAAACAGCTCTTCAAACCTCCAACCCAAACCCGAGGCCGGCCAGTCCAAACCAAAATTCTTGAGCTGAAACTGCCAAGTCATTTTGCCAAGTCGAGACATTTATCACGTATCGGTACGGGGAAGAATAAAGATCACAATATTTCTCATTCCCCAACAGCGAAGCTTATAGGCTTAGGGGTCACATGTTTGGGCTGTTTGGGCTGTTTGGGCACATGTTATTGAGGCGCTGACATGTTGCCGTGTTCCTTTTCGTATGTTCGCATGGCACATTGAAAAGGTTCATCACGCTGTTGAAACCAGCAGTGTCCAACAAACATACTGCCAAATGTTGCCATTACTTTTCGTGTATTGTAGTTTTTCTTGCAGATTTTGTTGGTTGGTTTTTGTTTTAGCAATTCCCAGCTCCAGCTGTTACCTCCCTGAGATGCCAGGCGAGCCTTTTCCAATGAACGGGTGCTGCTGCAAAAGAAAAGCGCGACAAAAACATGATGTTGGGCTTGTGTAACGGAGAGTAAGACACTTTCAGTCGCGAATCGTGGGATCAGTTAAGCCGCAGCTACAAGAAAACCATTGCTTTGCTGGGTTGAATACCTCGTTTCCCTCATGCGCCTAGAGGGCCCAGATTTTTGAGCGTTCTCCATGCGCCGGTGGAAACCCGGTTTTGCATGGCAACGCAAAAGGGCGGGTTTTTCCAGAGGGACTGACTGCACGGTCCATGATTGGGAAGCCTGACATCGGACTGTGACTTGTTTCTGAAGGATGATCGAGTCGAGGAACAAACACTGTCTCTGAGGGTCAGCATGAGTCAATCCATGTGAATCTTCAGCCAGTCGCAGTCCAGGGGGGTTGGTTTGGTATACTACCGTAGTCTATCAAACCAACCCCCCATGTCGAAGTCTTGAGGAGCACAGAGCACCTTAAGCTTAATGAGTTTCTTATTCCTTCCACTTCCCAGGGACGGTTTGGTTCAAACCAGCCCATTGGGACGGCAGGTTGTGAGGTCCTCAGGTCCTACGTATCTCTGGTTCTTTGTCCGACGATTTGGCTCCCAACAAGCAGCCCGCGACCGGTGCCATCTTGGTGCCGAGGCCCTTGTGAATCCTCCGTAGGTAGCGTTTGGACGTAGTTGTGCGACAGTATCTCACGCAGTCACATGGGTGTGTAAAAAGACATAGGGAGATCTTCCAACAAATTGGTTGGGAGTCTCGCTAGTAAAACACACACACACACAGCTGTGCCACAACAGGCGCTTTTTTGAACAAAAGAGGAACTGTTGGGGAACGTCGGTTGTCTCAACCCACCGCTGGCGGTGTTCCATCCGCCAACCTCAGGTTGTCATGGCTGAGGAGGCCGAGGTCGCTCACAAGCATGTTCATCATGTTCTTTCCTTTGGGTCCTTCGACATGAGCCAAGAAGGGGATCCGAAGTTTCAGGATTTGGTCCGAAATGCGGGATATTGATCGGATAGGCCCAAAACTGACCGTGAAACAGGGCGTTGACTAGGCCCTTTGAATGACGCCCCGCCCACATGTTGTGATTCCAAGACCAAACCGTCAGGACGGAGCCTCCGCTGTGTCCGGGACGGACAGTAAGCTAAGCTCAGTGGACCTTTGTTCTTCGACACCATCTCAGCGGGAAACACAAGGAGCCGCCTGAAGATGGACCCAAGCACGAGCTGCAGCACCGCTGGTGTCCAACAACTTGATTGATTTGCTGTGCCGCACCATGAATCAGCAGCTGCATTTTCAGAGTTTGATTGGTATCGTTTCAGTTGCGCAGGTGTTTTTTGTACTGTACAGCCAGGTGTCTTTGGGTACACCAACGACCAGGCTCTCAGAAGGCCAGCGCGGAGTTGGTGGATCGTTTGCCAGTGAGACTGCACTGACCAAGATGAGCAATCGAGCAACGTCTTGTTGAGACAGGACAAAGCCTGGAACGAGACTCAGAAAGAAGTGCACTCCTTTGAGACAGCAGAGGAGCAAGCGCTTGTCCAACATCATAGCTTAAGACAAAGTAGGACAAGTTCTTCAGACAAACAAATGCACTTGAGAGTAGACGGGTTTGATGTTGTTTCTTTCAAAGATACATTCTGCCTGGGAATCGTTTTGCTTTGCATCCGCTTGAAACTAGTAGTTGATGTTGGGTGCAGGACTTCTGGTGTATGTTTCACTTCTCCTATCCTCCCTCCAAGCTTGAAAACGTGGACTACTCTCTCTTCAAGCAAGGTCGTGCCCTCAGAAATGACATTTTCTTCTGGGTGATGATATTGCAGCGGGTTTTGGAATGAGAGAAACTTGTTCTGCTTGTTCATTTTCATGATTGCAAGTCATGCTTTGGAAAGGGCTATGGTGGACTGCTTTAAACTTTAAACATCCCCAATTCCAGACCATATACAGTATCTATGCATATGTAGCCATCCCATTCTTAGGTCGCATTCTTAGGTGCGTTTCTCTTTTACCGAACATTTTTCGAGCACGTTCATTTGGGCTGATTCTCTTGCCATGTACGCTTGGCTGGCAAACTGCTAAATGAAGCGCAAGCTAGTCAGCCCTAGGTGTTGCACCTGCTTGGGAGGCCGAGAAACCTCAAGCTTGGTCCATGGTGTTTGAAAGACTTGTGCACCAATATAGTATAATGTAGTGTTTACACGAGGGGAAACATGAGTTGCATTTGGATTAGGAAAAAGGTATGTACTGTAGACCGTGACCTAGGCGTAGAGCAAGCGTTTTAAGACACCGGCCGTAGAGCAGGTGTCTTTCAGTCTCCCGCCTTTGTCATTTCTGTGTCAAGAATGGGCACTTCTGGGATGTTTGTCTCAACGAGATCATGAGGTTTGTTTGGTTCGTTCTTGACCCGGAGCTCGTACAAACAAGCTTGGACGGATTGTTGGCGTGGCCGCGGCCGCACAAACCGTTCAGGATGCGGCCTTCAAGAACGGGGGCAGGTGGGTAATCAAGCTTGAGAAGGTCAAGGCTGGATGGAACACTCTAAAAGTTGGTGCTGGGTCAAACTCTTGTCAGTGAAGTGAACAAGCTTCAAGGTGAATTGGATTTCTGTTTGAAGGAGGTATATTTTTGTTGTTTGTCTACTTTGGGACATTTAAAGAAAGACATACAGGCATCTACTTCATGTGTTTGAATCGATCTAGATCGAGGTTTTCCAACTCACAGGTCTCCAGGATGGGTGGCGTGTGCTGTACCCGGGCTGCGCGAGGCCCAGAGCCTCGACGATTTGTGGCTCACGCTCAACCTGGCGCTCATTGGTGAGGCGGGATCCACTTGGTGGGCGGAAAGCGACTTGGGATGGTATCTCTATGTGTCAATATCTCTTTTTGAGCGAAGAGTTGGTAGATGACCCCTACTAGTAGTTTGCTTTTGGGCTCGAAAGATTTCATTAAAATTTCTCGATGAGATGATGGTCCAAGAGCAGGATATTTTTCAGTGCATGAGCTGGCTAGGACCCGGAGTTGTCAAGGCCCTTGCCCTACACAGGATTTAGTCTAGCGTCAGGTGGCAACCTATATGTAGCTCAGTCCCATCCAATCTTGCTAGATGAGCTGCCGTTCCTTGTTGGAGCATTATTGCTGGCGAGTTTTATAGAGGCATCGTACTCTGAGGTTTTCTTGTCCTTGGGGCCATTCGGGAGTGCTTCTAGGCTGTCTTCATTCTTACACTGGCATGTGGTCGCCTGACTGTGCAAAGAGGCATTGAGGGCCAAACAAGAGGCTCTCACAGGAGTTTTTCGATCCAGAAGTGCCTGGTAAAGGAAATTCAAGAAAAGACTCCGGTTCAGGCTTGAACAGGACCCCGTTATCATGCGTTATCCCTTTTGTTTGGCACTTTTTCCTCAACGTGCAGGCCTTTTACGAGCAGGGTGGTGATCTGGTTTGTGGAGCGATCGTCTCTGTGAGGCGAGTTGGGCTTTGAATGAGGGTTTTTCAGGTCTGGCTCACGGGGTTTCGACCGGTGGAGTCATAGAAATATGTTTTCCATGATTGTTCTTGGAAGGACAATGGAGAGACTACCGACTTCTGCGGTTTTATACATAGGAACTTATAAGGATGATTCGATGTTCTATTGGGAAAGCACAGATTCTGGCGCATCTTTGTCCGTGCAGATGTGCAAAGCTCAGCACTGATCTTCAAGCCTGCATGGCTTCAGCAAGACAACAGGCAAAAAAGAAACACACAAGCAGCAGGTGGAGTGACAGAGTTTTTCAGAAGACATGAAAACAGCTGACGATGCCTTAGATGCAGAGTAAAACAAGATGTGCCGTTTCGCATGTTTCCCAGTCGTACCCCGAGTTGTCCGGAGGAGCCGCGCGAGCAAGATCGCCTTGTGGCTTTCCGCCGCCAAGGCGAGTGTGTGGCCACGAACGCCAGAAGGGGCGTTAAACTCACACGAACGGACTGTGCTGTATCTCACTGACTGTGAGTTGAGTGCTGAAGTAGCGAAGTGGCCTCCGATCATCCAACGGCCATCCTCGTCCTATGTTTCAGAAATTCCTATTCAGAAGAACTTGCGCAGCCTGGGAGGATTCTCAGCCCCAAGCAGTTTTGATGTCGTCCTGGCCAGTCCCATACGACGACCCCTCTCTCCCGAAAGGACGAGAAGCGGATCATGGCCATTGGCCGAATGTATCGGAATGCCCGGCTGCCATAGCTTTGGAGGTCCTGAGGTCCTGAAGGAAGAAGTAACACAGTGAATTAGTGAAGTCTAACCTCCATTCCGAAGGGGCACCACGGCCTACCTGGGCCTACCTCAAGGTGAAACAAACCACGTGGGTCTGCTGAGGGCTCGCCCTTCTCCATCTGAGGTCCTCTCCAGCACCCCTGGTCTCCAGGAGTTGGCGACGAAGGCGCTCTGAAGATTTTGAGTTCGGTTGAGGGGGTTTCAGAATCGAACGGCCCCTCTTATGAGGTTCAACAAAAGACACCGGCGGTGTGGTGGTATTTTCTGCTTTTTCATCTCCTTAGAAGTCCTTCTTTGAGCCAGTGCAACAGGGGACTTTGGGACATGAACTGCAATCAGACACCTTCGACTCCAAGACTCCCATGACTTCGCTGCATGCCACGGTCTTCTCCTCGGGGACGGTCGGCCCGAAGGGCTCCGCCGGCTCCGTCAGGAGCTGACCTTCGAGGACTTCCGGAAGCAGTCCGTGACCTACGTCCTCTCGAAAGTGAGCGAGGAGACCGCACCCAGTCCAGCTTGGAGAGCCCAGATGCGCTGGTGGGTGACGTGGGTGGGTGAAGTTGGGGTGCAGTTTTAGACAGGTGGAGAAAAAGAACCATAAGGTCGGTCTTCTTTTTGGCTGTTCAGCTTATGCTCGGATCTTTTTCTCTCGTGGAGGCAAAAAACACAGAGATCAGACTTGTTGGGGCTCCAATAACTGCTATTCCTGTGAGAGCGAAGTTCATTGTCTCCAAAAAGGGGTGCCTTCGTTTGAGACGGACTTGAACCTGTCCTTTGCCTGCCAGGGAGTCTTTCAGTGAGATGATCCAAGGCATTCTGCAAAAAAAGGTACAGGAATACTGAATTATGATGATACTCCTACCTATATACTATATATACATATACATCTATATCTGTATATATAATGTATGTATGCACATATAGATTATATATATATATATGATTATATATATATGCACATATAATGTATATGTATATATACACACCTGTGAAGTGAGGAGTTATTGTAACTGGCTCGTCCCGTCTCGGCCCTCGGCCCTCCTTGGTCCAATGAGTGGAGCTTGTCTCGTTCTTTCAACCCCCACGGCAGCTGTTCCTCGCAGCTGATCGCAGCGCCTCAAATGGAACGGTCGACAGATGGAACGGAAGAGGAAGACCGAATCCAAGAATATATATATATATATCTATCTATCTCTCTCTCTCTCTCCATCGAGATCTCTACCTATCTAGCTATCTACCCCGGAAGTTCACTCAGCTGCCAGCAGTGTTCGCAGCTCTGTCTTTCTAGCTAAAACATGCTCACGGAATGTAGGCCTTTCAGTACCGTCTCCTTGAGTTGACTTCCGCCGCAGCCGCCATTGCTGCTGCTGCTGCTGCTGCTGCCGCCATTGTTGCTGCTGTTTTCGTTGGTTGTGGCCGGACAAAGCATTTGTGCTTTCGATTATTTTATTTTTATGAAGGCACATGAGAACTGAACCGTGTACTTCTAGCCTACCTCAACTCGCATGCAAGTTACATTCATGCCTCAATCTAATGTTAAATTTTTGCTGGACGTATTTGTTTTCCTGCGTATCTTAAATGTGTATTCTGCAGATGCATTTAAGATCAAGTGGATTGACCAAACTTGTGGAATGAGGGCAGTTCAGTTCAATTCAGCCCCAAAGGCTTGCATCTATGGAACTGCAGGCATGTTTCAATCATTGACCAAGATCACCATCGCTTGGTTTGTGTGGTCCCTTCGAGTCCTCGGGTGATGTCAGATGATGTGCAAACGGATGGTTTTTTTCACCAGTAGACTCGATGGTGCAAGAAGGGAACAACAAATGAAGTAGACGTGCAGAACGCAGCTGGCCCTTCCACATGGCAAACCTTGTTGTGAGATAAACTGGAGGATTGCCCATGCTTTACCTTTTGGAGATTCTATGAGACCAATGAAGAGGGAGTGCATTGATCCTCCTATGGCCTAGATTTGCCGACATCGGCTGCAGCCATCTTTGCTTTGAGCCTGGGGTGCACCTCAGTAACTCTCGCGACCGCTGGGTCCGTGTACAGCACCGCCCTTGGCTGAGACCGAAAAACGCCATCGAGACCGGCTGGGGCGCTTGAGAAGACCATTCTTAGAGTTTGATCAGATGTTGTGGCACTCTCTTGTGGAGGTAAGAATTTCTCTCTTTGGGAACTGGATTCAGAAGGGGCTGAAAGAGCTTTTCTTGCCAAGGAGCACATTGCAAGCTTTGAGGATGGCAAACCTGGCCGGTGAAGATGAGGCCCTGCAGATCCGTGTGCTCAGATCCCTGCTCCCGTAGCCTGCATGTTGGTCGTTTGGATGCCGCGAAGCCGAGGCCCAGATTCAAGAGTATGCGGTGCTTCATTGCAACTTTCCCTGCCAAAAGCAAAGCTGTGGCCGGGTCATCAAGGAGGCGTGGAGTGATGGCTGGGCTGGGCTTGGAGTTTCATGGGGCTTTATTGAATCATTCAATAGACATTTCAAGGGGTGTACCAGGCTCAGGAAGCATTTCAACATCGGCACACTGGAAAACCTGGAGCGGACATGTTGTCGTAATGATCCTGCCGATCCTGCCGACAAGTCGTGGACAAAGACCGCTGCAGCGCTTGCGCCCTGAGGGGGTTCTCCTTCGATGCCGCCATATCTTTTGCAACGAGCATGCGCAGCAATGGCTGGGACTCCAAACCTGGACTGAGCACGAGATAGGGTGTCAGGTGTCACTGACTGACTTGCTGGAATACAGAGATACAAAAGAGGATAGTCAGACTAGTTGTTCTGCTTGAAGATTCGGTTGGTTGGTGCTCTGACAGACAGAAGCCTATAGATCCCCCCCTTCTGCGGCTTGGGCGTAGAAGCGGCTGCGAGTGAAGCTGAGGTTCCTCAAGTCCGAGGAGTGCCCCGTTTGTATGGATGGCCCGGTTCGGATGCCTAGAGCCCGCTGTTTTCCGCTAGCGGCCAAGCGGGGATTGGAGTTGCTTTCCACTCACCTAGTCGGGGTCCGGGCAGAAGGGTTGGAGGGCGATTGTTTTCAGGGTTGAGGAACACATATAACTGTAGCATGATGTAGCATGTGGGACGGATTTTGCAGAGATGACACCCAACGGATTTTGCAGAAGATTGACCACCTTCTTTCTCACGGGGTTTGAACACCCTTTCCGGGTCCGTGACAGCGACCAGTGACGAGGCGAAGCGGCGGGAGGTTGGACGAGAAGATGATAGGCGTGGCGAGTGGAGCATTTTTGGCAGAGCCCGTGGGTGTGTAAGCAAGAGAGTTCTTTTTTGGGGGAGCGAATTACGTAGTTTGGAGATCACTGTAACTCATGAAGAATTACTGGTGTGCCGCTTCGAAAGTATTCTTGGAGGTATTGTGAATGAGGGTAAAGCTTGGCAACACTCAACAAATGAACAGAACCCTGTACTTGGGATTCACTTACTTTACGGCGTTTTTTTCACCCGGGTTGAACTTTCGAGTGGGTCAAGACGAGTTGGGAAAAGATTTTCCGAAAAATCCCCGGTGGATCGTCGTATCAGACGATCAGTGTTCGCTTTGACGGTTCAGTGTTCGTGGCGATGTGGAATCCCGACCGTTACGACGCGAAGATTTGATTCATCTGATTTGGCCAATGAAAGATGGTTTGATTTGAAGACATTCTTGAAACTGGGTGCGCGAAGACATTTTTGCAGGGAACGTGTGCGGCTTTTGCAAGAGCTTTTGGTCACTTCAACGCCTTTGGAGGCCCAGGACGGGAGAGGCCTTTGCCGAGCACGGGGGAGATCTTTTGCAGCATGGTCATGGGAGTAGAATGGCTTTTTACTGCGATGACAGGCAAGTGAAAGCTTTTCAACTAAAGTGATGCTCAGCTCTTGCATTTCGGGTATCCAAGAAAGAAGCTTGCAGTGCCAGCACACTGGACCTGGAGTGCAAAGTGAGTCCTGTGTTGGCACTCGCCGAGTTCGGCCTTCCTAAAGCCGCAGCGCGTGCTTCCCTGTTCGCCGAGTCGCTGGTGAGGTTGGTTTGAAGAAGTTGATCAACACAGTGGCACCATCTATGACCGAGGTAGACCAAGCGGTTCTTTTGACCCTTGGACCCCAGGCCATGGAAGGTTCCTTTTGCTCCCTGATTGGTTATTGAGGGAGTGATATCCTTGAGACATGTATGTGAGATGCAGTCAGAACCAACACTGTCATTGTTGATGGGTCACAGGTCGCGTTGGACACGAAGATATGACTTCCTGAACATTTTTTTGGTCTCCTCTCCTCTCATGATTGTGTTCCAAGGATTTCGAAACCCTGACTTTGACACTTACACACCTCGGATTCACACGTGGCGCGAACGCGAGCTTTGGAAGAACTGCTTGACCACTGGTGACCTTGCAGGAGGCTGCCTCGGTGACCGTGGAGCTTTGGGAGGCTCAGAAGGCCGAGGCGTACCTGGAGCTGGTGGACCTCCCCAGTAGTTCTGTTCATTCTGTTCATTGTCTGTGGTCAACCAAGCCCCCCGGTTTTGACCCATAGCCAAATGTGGGGTGCGTCACAGGGAACATTGGATGAACTTCATTGGCCTCTACCTCTAGGTACATGTGTTGTAGTTTTATCCCGAAGCATGTCACGTGTGTTTGCTGGGGTTAAACAGACACCTGCAGGAATTTGCACAAGAAGTCGCTCGAGAGCAGGAGCTGGTTGCAGACAGCTGAAGACATGACATTACAGTACTGTGTTATTGACTAAGGAGACCCCAGACAGTTGCTGTCAATCGACAGAGAAACGCACACCCAGACAAGGAGAGCCACCAATTTTAAGGCAAACCAATTTCCCATAATTTTCCTTATTTTTTCTTGAAAACATTGAGTTGACCTTTGATCGTTTGACCTTTGATCCAAACGGAGGAGATTGCTGTGCGTATCACTCAGCTGAATCGGAGCATCAAGAAACGATTGAAAGAGGCTGAGTCGTGTCCGGCGGAGACCGGAACCGTTCGTGGCTCACCTCGGTGGTCGTGAGTCGGTCGTGTCAGGATTTGATCGTGTTGGTCTTTTTGGATCGCTGGTGGTTTTGGTATTTTTTTTCTGCGTTTCTAACTACCAAAGAGGAATAGGAATCCTAAATTACTAGTAGATGTTGAAGTTGTGTCATGCTAGTGATGAGGCCATAAAGACCACGTGTGAACGCAGATCGGTGCGTGATCGGAAGCAGATGTCTTATTCAACCGTTTGGAAGCTTCTGTCCAGCGATGTCTCAGGCCGAGGATTCTTTTAAATCACGGGTGGTTGGAACCTTGGACAGGAGAAGCTTGTGGCTAAAAGAAAGACTGAAGCTGTGTACATGACACGTAAAAGCTGTGTACATACGTATACCGTGCAGTGGAGTGGCGCACCACACAGAGACCCTCTTTATCCCCCAATTCGGAGAGAACCCGATTCGGCGGATGTCATTTCTCCCCAGTTTCGACTCGAAGCTGTTCCACTTCTTTCGCCAGCACTGCCAGTCCATTTGGGGCACCAGACAGATCGTTGTTCCGTTTCGATGAACCGAACACTGGCGTTCCCGGACCGCTTTCGGAACGAACCTCCGGCCCAAGGCCCGGACGGAAGATCTCCGGCGCCGCGTGCGCGAGGCGTGGTCGGTGTCCATTTCCACGTGGTCGCGACGGTGTCCGCCTTTCCTTCCCAGAGATGTTGTCTGGCGTAACCTCCGCGCAACTGGGATCCCATAGGGTGTTTTCGGAGGGGACGCGGTCCATGTCCTATGCCGAAAATGCGTTCCTTTGAGATTTGAGACCCTTGGAAACCTGGTGATGTTTGGTATGAAAGATGTGCAAACCCGATGCCCTCAAACTTGCGAAAGTACTAGGTTACTTTGCATCTCAGCCCTAACAAGATGCAGAATTGCCGATGCCTCATGTCTTGGCACCAACTCCAGAAGGCAGAGCAGTTGCTTCGGCGGGACAAGGAGTATGCGGCCACACTTGCGTTGGACGGCCCAGCCATGATGAGAAATCATGAGCCATGTGCGGCACTTCTAGGTGACAAGCTTTTCGTTTTTGAGTGCAAGATTGGCTCGAGGACGAGCTCTAGCTTTGACGATCTCCGAGTTTTCCAAGGACCCAGATCTTTTTGCCATGGGGAGTGGTGTCTTCGCATGGGAATGGTCCACAAAAAGAAGGGCCAGAAAGCTGATGCCTGTGGAAGGCACACCTGTGATCGCGTTAGACGAAGATGCCGAACCAGGAAGAGACGGTGTCGCTCCGAAGGCCTTCTTTCTCCGTTCTTCCGGGGTGAGTTCTTCACCCCGGCAGAGCGAAGGTGGTCTTACAGCGGTTGAAGCTGGCGTACGCTTTGGTCATGCGAAGCAGACTCCCTTTGCCCACACTCCCAGTGCAGAGGAGTAGAAGACAAATCAATGTACTCTCTCCGCCTCCGAATGAAACTACCCCAGACTGTACAGTCTTTTCGCTCTATCAGCGACAGTGGCAATGGGCAATTTTGTTTTGATTTCTTTCCTTG